TCAATTCCCAGCAACCACATGGTGGCTCACAACCATCTGTACTGAGATCTGGCGCCCTGCTCTGGCGTGCGGGCATACATCGAGGCAGAATGTTGTATACATAATAAATAAATATTTAAAAAAAAATTTCTAAGTTCCATGTGGAAAGAAAACAGCACCATGATTAACTTGAGAGAATATTTAAACAACTCTCAAGAAGAATCTAACAGCTTAGAAACTTTATAGTTCTTTCTTTACACTTAAATTTTTTTTATCTGTATGAATGTTTTGCTTGCATGTATCTTTGTGTACCACATGTACCTAGTACCTTTGAAGGCCAGAAGAGGACACCGCATCTCCAGAATTGTAGATCGAAGCCATGGGACCCAGGCCCCTAGTACTTCAAACCACAGAGCCACCTGCACCTCGTTTTAGGAAAACAGTGATTGATAAATAACATTCAAGCTTGGTCCTCATTCTAAATACTAGTTTGCAGGAACATTGGTATTTATCTGAGTTATGTTCCACTGGAGGTCCACGAGAGCCCATGCTATGGTAGCAAAGCAAGAGACACAATGTGGAAGACCTCTGCTTGAATTCTGACTTAGTCCCTGTTCTGTGGTGTGTCAGGCAAGTACAATCTCTCTGAAGAATTGATAGCTCTGCTCTAAGGACCACAAGATGCAGCCTGATGTCCATAACCTGTTTTCAACATTAAAACACTCATCAAGTTCTAAGCCAAACATTAAAAAGCAGGGAGTTTCCCTCGACTGTGAATTAATTCAGTACCGCCTCCTTATAGTCATTCTCCAGCTGGAAACCAAGCTCACCACTTTTTTCCTACTAAAACCTCTTCAAATTCAATAATTCACAACTCCAGCATCATTTTGTCTCCCCAAGAAAGACTATTTCAATATTCACTTTAGTGAAGTAGCTCACTTCATCTTGAAATCTACATTTATATCTTGACCAAGCTACCTCTGCCAGTTTTTAAAACTGCCTTTGAATGTCTCCTGACTCCTCAATCCAAAGGACAAAGGCCTTCAAGGGCCAATTCTCCCTGCAGTCACCGCCACTACAGCTCTTCTCCAGTTCTTCATTCTGAGGTGCTCGGGGGAGGAGAAATTGGTTCACTGTGGCTGGACCAAGCTATGGGACCTGGCTCTCTGTAAGAACAGAACCAAGACACTAGAGCTGCACAGAGACAAACACAGCGTCAGCACTAGTAATTCTGGGGTCCGCCTCCCACAAACCTCAGTTTCATCACCTACAAAGTGGGGGTAATGCCTTCTACTAATATGTGAAAAGCACTTTGCATAATCTTTGGTATATACAGAGACATAAAGAGGGCAGGCATTATCAACTACTTCCTTAGTTAAAAAAAAAAAAAGGGAAGTTATTACATTGTCACAAGCACGAAATCTGCAGGCACTCACTCCTTTTATGGTCTAAGTGTTCTCTATTTCCGCAGGCATAACAACCACCTGTCTTGGCGAACTAGGACCTGCTAAGAACGAGCTGAGGGACAGTCTCGCGAGAATAAGTAACAAAAGAAATGCCATCCAAGTTCCTCACAACCAACATTGTATTTACCGTCTAAGAAAAAAGTATAGAGGGCCAGAACTAGAAACTGGATTGTTAGGTTACTCACACCCCCTAGTGGCCACAAAGAAAATGGCTCTTTAAACCGATAGTTTGGCCAAGATCATTTGCGTATGTGAGTTTAAAAAACAGCTCATCGATTCCACTGGAATCAGGAAAAAGACAAGGTTGTTTACTCTCTTCATGTCTATTCAATATAGTCTTGAGGTTCTAGCTAGAGCAATAAGACAAAAAAAGGAGATCAAGGGGATAGAAATTGGAAAAGAAGTCGAACTCTGACTATTTGCTGATTATATGATAGTTTACATAAGCTACCCCAAAAATTCTACCAAGGAAATTCTACAAGTCATAAACACTTTCAGTAATGTAGCAGGATACAAGATTAACTCAGAAAATCAGTAGCCCTCCTGTAAACAGATGATAAATGGGCTGAGAAAAAAATTAGAGAAACATCACCCTTCACAATAGCCACAAATAACAAAGTATCTTAGAGTAACTCTAACCAAACAAGTGGAAGACTTATATGACAAGAACTTTAAATCTCTGACGAAAGAAATTGAAGACAACACCAGAAAGTGGAAAGATCTCCCATACTCTTGGGTAGGAAGAATTAACATAGTAAAAATGTCAATCTTACCAAAAACAATCTATAGATTCAATTGCAATGCCCATCAAAATCCCAGCAAAATTCTTCACAGATCTTGAAAGAACAATATTCAACTTCATATAAAAAAAAACCCAGGACAGCCAAAACAATCCAGTAATGGAACTTCTGGAAGCATCACAATACCTGACTTCAAACTCTACACAGTGCTAAAGTACTGAAAACATCCTGGTATTGGCATAAAAGTCAGGAGGACCAATGGAACCAAATTGAAGACCCAGATATAAATCCACACACCTATGAACACTTGATTTTTGATAAAGAAGCAAAAATATCAAATGGAAAAAAGAAAACATTCAACAAATGGTGCTGGCATTAACTGGATATCAACATGTAGAAGAATGCAAATAGATCCATATCTATTGTCATGCACAAAACTCAAGTCCAAATGGATTAAAGACCTCAACAACAACAACAAAAAACAGCCACACCAAACCTCACAAAAGAGAAAGTGGGAAGTACACTTGAACATATTAGCACAGGAGAACACTTCCTAAATATAACCCCAGTAGAACAGATACTGAGAGAAACAATTAATAAATGGGACCTCCTGAAACTAAAAAGCTTCTGTAAAGCAAAGGACACACGGTCACCAAGATAAAACGACAGCCTATAGAATGGGAAAAGATCTTCACCAACCCCACATTAGACAGAGGGCTGATCTCCAAAATATACAAAGAACTCAAGATATTGGTCATCAAAAGAACAAATAATCCAACAAAAAAATTGGGTACAGACCTAAATAGAGAACTCTCAACAGAGGAATCTCAAATGGCTGAAAGACACTTAAGGAAATGTTCAGCATCCTTAGCCATCACAGAATGCAAATTAAAACAACTCTGAGATTCCATCTTACACCTGTAAGAATGGCCAAGATCAAAAACACTGATGACAACTTATGCTGGAGAGGTTGAGGGGTAAAGGGAACACTCCTGTATTGCTGGTGGGAGCACAACCTGGTACAGCTGCTTTGGAAATCAGTCTGGCGATTTCTCAGAAAATTAAGAAACAACCTTCCTCAAGACCCAACAATACCACTTTTGGGTATAAACCCAAAGGATGCTCAATCGTATCACAAGGACATGTGCTCAACTCTATTCATAGCAGCATTGTTTGTCATAGCCAGAACCTGGAGACAACCTAAATGTCCCTCGACCACAGAATGGATAAGGAAAATGTGGTACATTTACAAAATGGAGAACTACACAGCAGAAAAAAATAATGACATCTTGAAATTTGTAGGCAAATGGATGGCTCTAGAAAATGTCATAGTGAGTGAGGTAACCCAGACCCAGAAAGACAAATATCACATGTACTCACTCATAAGTGGCCTTTAGACATAAAGCAAAGAAAACCAGCCTACTATTCACAATCCCAGAGAACCAAGACAACAATGAGGACCTTAAGAGAGGCATACATAGATCTAATCTACATGGGAAGTAGAAAAAGATAAGATCTCCTGAGTAAACTGGGAGCATGGGGACCATGGGAGAGGGCAGAAGGGGAGGGGAGAGGAAGAGGGGGAAGCAGAAAAAAAATGCATAGCTCAATTTAAAAAAAAAAAAGCTAAAAAACCCAGCTTATTTACTTTTATGGGTTTTCTGCCCATTGAAAAAAGATAATGTTACTAGACACAATGAAATACTAACTTAAAGACACAAGCAACCACTTTCTAATCTATGCTCACTCAAGTAAGACCAAGGTAAGGAGATTTTTGATCTGAAACATTGTTTTTCACCACTGAGTTATTTACAAGTCGAGGTAACAAGTTATTATGCCCAAGACTATCACTCTATTCTTTGTGAAATCCTTCGTTTTGTAATAGGTTATTTCAGTAAAAGTTCAGTAACCAGAACTTTCAATGAACACGGTTTCTTCCTCTTGCAGTCCATTTCTAGGACAAAGTAGGGAGAATTCAAAATAAATTACTCGTGTGAAGAATTTGGTTGAAAACCTCCAAGAGTGTTTCCCTCTCTTTGTAGACAGGACCTCATACAGCTTAAGGCCTGAACTCCCGAGCCTCCCTGCCTGCATCTCCCAAGTGCTGGGATTATAAGTGTCTCTAGAGTGAGCTATCTTAAGTAGAAAAAAAAACAGGATAGAAGTGATATTCATGCTATGATTATCAATATACAGGAAATACATATATAATTGGGTAAGAACTAGAAGGAAATTAAAAATAAAAACTGTAATGGGGAAAAATAGTGAATTTTCTCTTTTCCCCACTCCTTTCCTTTTCTCACACTATTGTTTGTATGATTTTAATGCTTTGAGCTAGTACACAGCTTACACCTTCTACCTTATCAGCATCCGCAGGCTACCACATCTGACCAGGAGAAAGGGAGTTTTCCATATACACACACACATATACACACTATACATACTCACACACTCAGATACATATATATGTAAATATGTGTGCTACTTCATGCATATACATGTAAATTTTTCTGTTTTTGTATTTTACAGAAGAAGGTCTCACTATTGGAGGCTCAGGTGTCCTGGGACTCAGATATCCACTTGCCTTTGCCCCAGCACTGGGATTAAAGGTGTGTGCCTTTAATTCATACACACACACACACACACACACACACACACACACACATTAATTTTAAACTAAATTGAAAAGGGATTTATCAGAGACCTCCTTACTCAGAAAGCAATCTTGGTATCTACTGTTTTACATAATACTTGGCAAACACAATGTATAAACTAAGAAATCACTTCTGCATGGAAACTTCATATACCAAATGAATATATTTAAAATACTGTTTATTTGTGATTTAACATTAATTAGCATAACATCTAAGAGCAATATCAGATAACTTTTACACATTTCTCCACAGGACACTGAGTTCACTGGCTCATTCATTATGCCAAAGCAAGTAAATAGAAGCTTAGCAAAAGGTGCAATAGTTTACTGCTGTGTTTAAAAAATATTTATGCACACTGCATTCATTTATATATATATATATATATATATATGCATCCTTTAAAGGTTATGGAAAGGGCAGCTCACAGGTTACTGTGTCTACACATGTTGTAACAACAAAAAGATGTGGAACATAAACAATCCTCAGACACAGTCCAGCAACTCAAAGTTTCCACCACGAGATGAACAGACTCCAGTAGTTAGTGAGATCTAAAATGACATTGGCAGGCTCTGGTTCAAGTTCGCACCGAATCACCACACAGTCCGGCCGAGAGCACTGTGCTCAGGGAACGTCTGCGTGCCCACTCACCCTCCGACGCCTTTGCTACGTCTACTCACTGAGCACTTCGGATCATCCATTTACACTGATCTGTGACATCACTTGGGAAAATGGAGAAAACTGTATTAAACCTAGGTTTAAATTTGTATTTACAGTAGAAAGAAAGTTAAAAAAATTTTAAGTTCGCAAAAATCATGAAGTGGTAGTTCTGCTGTTGGATCAGGGCTGCTGGTGTGACCCAGTGCTGCCCTCTACATACGTACGCTTCAAATATCAACCAAGACATTGATTTTTGGCAGGAAACAGAATTTGAGAAAACCTGGGACTTGTTTTCAGTAAATCAAACTATACACTTCCCTGTGGATACACATCATTACCAAACAGACCCTTCTTTCCTGTCCTTCCCCTTTCCTCCCTTCCCTTTCAGCCTTTTCATTTGGTTACCTTATGCGACACTCTTCATCTTCAGCAATACTAAGAGAAAAATACATTATATGGTTCAGATGTGAATCTAGACTTTGGATGCCCTTTGGATGCCATGTCCCTGGCCTCCTGAACTGTACTCGGTACCAAGAAGCCTCAGGTATGCTCTACTGCTAACTGATTGGCTAGATGCTCATGACACCTTGTACTGAAGGTATACAAACGTTTCAACATACAAAAATTGTTTTTGCTAGAGTTAAACTAAATAACTCATGTTATGTGTACAAAATCCCCTCTATGAAAAATAAGGGGCTTTTCTAACTAATAAAAAAGGAATTTCTTCAAAAATTATAGTTTATTAAAATGACTTCTTTTGGCAAACAGTTACTTCAGGTGAGGGAATTTCATACTATGAATAAAATTCTGAACAAATCTTTTCTTAAAATATTTAAAAAATGATGTGCCAGTGTATACTAATGCTCCAGATTCCTGCTGTGGCAGCTTCCAAAGCATCCCACTAGCGCCCACTGGAACAATGGGGACCCACAGGTATAGGCAACAACCAAGATAAAACTCCAGTCTGATTAGCAAGTGAAGCAGCTGGTGAGAAGTAAACATCCCCACTTGTTCACTGGCAATTTCTTCCCAACAGGTAAGATGGAGAAGGCCTGAAGTAACAGACTCTGTCTGTCAGTGACCAACAACAATACTTCATGAGGGCAGAGCTGAGTAAAACTAGCAACTGTTTAAAAATTTCAAAGCCATTTTGGACATATAAAAAGAGATGAATTTAAAAGTTTTCCATAATGTTTTTCTTTTAGTAAAACCTCTTTCCAGTTTTGAAAGTCCAGTTTGCTCCACACCCCCAATCCGACCTACCACTGTGTAGTAACAACGAACTAAAATGTGGTACTTAATTGTGCAATGTCACATTGTAATATTCAAATTACAAAAGACTACTTAGGCCTCAACTTTCTCCTTTTTTTTGCTCTTTTTGAGAAAAGAAGGTGTGCGAAATTTCTTCTTTTTCTTGGATGGTGACTTTGAAGGTGAACCATCAGGTGACAGGACCTCTTCAGTTCTTTCTGGAGACTTGACGGTGATCTCGATGTTCTCGATGGTTGTGCTTGTAGTCAGCCTGCTGACCCGCTGAGCAAGCTCATCCTCAGCGTCCTGCAGCTCATCCTTGCCGTTCACTATCATGACAGGCACGTCAATGGAGGTGAAGCTCTTGGAAAATAGCTCGTGGTTTTCTACAAAAGGAGGAGGTTTGGGGGGGCTTGTTACTTACAGTCAACATATGTGTTTAGTTGTCAAAACTGACAAGTTTTAGTAGTGTATAGAGGTACTGCTTTAATTTTAATGAGAACAGATTACTTTAATAACCCATGTATCAATTAGCATGAAGCTAATCTAAAATGATACAAAGAGGAAGAGAACACAGGCATTAAAAGAGTCAGAGATAATTGTAGTTTGATATCATGTCATTCCATTGTAAAACAAATCATTACAAATGAAGACAAGACATAGTTTGAAGGTCATTTGACATTTAAAACTGTACAGAACTTCATGCTACTGATTAGAAGATGTATGACATGGCAAGTCAATTTTAATTCCACAAATTCTTAAAAATTATGGGTTAGCCCAAGCCAGGGAGAAGTGAATCAAATAAATGATGATTAAAAGCAGCATCCCATTTCATAAACGTGTGACATTTTGGGGAGAATTCGGTAACACTCTGACAAAATTACTGTGAACAAGCATTCGATTTTTTCCATGGGCACAACCGACAAGACTCTTCCCATGCGAAGGCCATGGGAAACGACACTGAATACCTTCTAATTGTTCAGGGACAGTTTGCGGTGACTGAGTTTGAGACTGAATTTGTGAAACAGATGCAGCGTCATCTGAGAGTGACTCCTGCTCAGCGTCTGTTGAATAAGATCGTCAGTTAGAAGCCATGCAAACAAAAAAAGGAAGCGTAAGGCTGCGGAGAGGTTAGTGCGCACATCCAACGCCCGCTCACAGAGGCGGCAAGTTCATCAGCAATGAGCTGAGCATGCTAAGAGCTATCCCACATGTCAGTAATTATGATTCTAAGATTAATGTGTTAAAACTTTTGGCCCATGAATTGTAACTGTTCATACTTGGTTGAAAGAAGCAGCCCAGATAAAGAATATATATATGTATATATGCATTTAGCTTTTGCTAGTACAGAACACCAAAATCTCCAAAGCCAGATGAAAAGGTAAGATAGCCTCAGCAGCGGTGCTGCGTTAATGAGGCAGGATGGCTTGCAGAGTTTCTAACAATCTCCAGCCAGTGATTCCTGTTAGAGCAGTATTAGTGATCTAATGCAGGAATGGAAATGAAATTACTTACAAAGTTATATATAAAAAGTGATGTCTAGAGTATGTTTGTTACCTGGCATCTTTAGGCTTTCAAAAATAAAAGATTAAATAACATTTATAAAATATAAAAAAAATGTTTCAAATTTTTGCATCTTATGTTAGAACAAACAAGTTAAATATGGCACTTAGAAAAAATTTGCTGTAAGTACATTAATGAGCAGGGCAAGTTGCTTTTGTGATCAAGTGAATAACTGATAAAATGGTTTCTTGGATAGTCCAGATATCATTAGCCATTAGCTAGCAGGTAACACCATGGTACTTAACCTTCCCCCACATCCGCTGCAGCCCTGGCTGTCCTAGAACTCGGTCACACAGACAATTTTTTTATTATTGGTTTCTGTTTTGCTTTGGTAGAAATGCTAACTGGGCACTGTAGATGAGCCAATGCAGAGGTTCTTACTGGATCAGAGACTTCTAATTTTCCACCCTAAATTCTGCTTGCCTAGATGTCTTTATGCATAATTCATTGCCTATTTTTCAGGTGGCTTAAAGACCCAGTCCTGTGAAACCCTGCTAAGATCAGCATCTCACTCTAGAGAAAAGGAGAGCTAGGTAGGACTCAACTGCTAGGAATTTTTCACTAATAATTTATTTATTTATTGTTTTGAGACAAGATCAGCCTCTGGTGCTGGGATTACAGACATAAGCCTCCATACTTGTTCTTCACAACCAGTTCTTAACCACCCAGAGTCAGGGAAACTCAGTGTATCAGAGCACCTATGCAGGAAAGTAACTTCAAATTCCTAGCAGTTTATGCTAAATGGTGATTTTGAAATGACTATATTGGCACCCTGACACCAGGAACAGACATTTAACAAAGCACTAAAATCAAATACTTGAGAATCTGTGATTGACAATCCACACACCACGCAATGTTCAAAGCAAAACCTGTATTTACTCTGGAAATCCTGCATTCATCTGGGCCTTGGTGCTATAAATTTAAGATGACATAGCCCACGTTCAGATTGCTTTCTGAGAAGAACAGTTTCTCTGTCTTAGCAAGTAGGAGTGGCTTTCTGCATGTCAGCCTCACCTGGACCTGGAAAGGACTAGAGTGGATGAGCTGAACAGAATGCAAAAGCTCTGACTGCCTCTGTCACCAGCTTGGGTGCTCTATGTTGTCAGCGTGGTGATCCCAGACCTAACTCAAGAGGAACTGACCGTCCAGGCCTCGCTGCTTCCTTTCGATTGTCTTCGTATATTCTTCAAGTTCTCCTTCCATGAGATGACTGAACGGGTTAGGAGGAGCTGGGGGGCCCTCATCATCATCGTTGAACTGCAAGGTCTTACAAAGAAAAAAGCCCCAACAACTTAGATTCATTATCAAGTGCTTTAACATCTTTCATGCCTTTATCTCCTTATTTACACACATACACACACACACACACACGTTACATACCCACATAGATGTTTGTGATTACTGACTTCATAGCAATTGTAAGAAATGACAAAGCAGCATGATTTTTAACTTTTAAAATACTCTTATCAGATTACAAATAGAACTACTATATGATCCAACTATACGATTATTCCTGGGTATATATCTGAAGCGGTCACTCAATATATAACAGAGATACATGGGAACAGATGAGTGGACAAAGAAAATGTACATATACACAAAGAGTATTATTATACAGCCACAAAGAACAACAAAATCAGACTATTGGAGGAAAATGGTTGCAACTGGAGATCATGTTAAGTGAAAATACAACAGATCCAAAAGTATGCATATCACCAGATTACCTCTCATACATTAAGTCTGGAATGCAAAGGGATCATGAAAACAGGAAGGTGGCTATTTGGGAAAAGGACAGGAAAGGACCAGTGCTGGGGAGGGGATAAGCCAGAACACTCTGGCGTGAGCATGATCATGTCTATGGGGAAGTCCAGAAAAGCATTGGAATTCTACTCATGATACTAAAGTTCCTCACCTGATGGAATTTTGCCAAAAAGCCATTTTAATAAGTTAGAATTTAATAAGTTCTATAAGTCCCAAAGTTTCAGAGCTTACTGCCAGGCCTCTGATCCATTCTGATGTGACTTTGTACAAGATGAGGGCAGAGATCTAGTTTCTGTCTTCTGTGTGTGTGTGTATGGGCTCACTCAGGGTTACTGGGCTATTTGGGGTCTTCTGTACTTCCAAGTGAATTTGAGCTTTGTTTGCGTTTTTCTGTTTTGTTTTTGAAGACAGGGTTTCTCTGTAACTTTGGAGCCTGACCTAAAACTCACAGAGATCTACCTGTCTCTGTCTCCTGGCTGCAGACTAGACTGCCCTCGAACCCAGAGATCCACCTGCTCTTGCCTCCCAAGTGCTGGGATTAAAGGCATGTGCCGGCTTCTTGAGGATTTTTATCATGGAAGTATGCTGAATTCTGTCAAAGGCTGTTTTTGCACCTATTGTAATGAGCATGTGATATGTCTTTGTTTTTATTTATGTGCTGTGTGTCTATTGATCTGTAGATGTTGAACCATCCTTGCATTCCTGGAATGAAACCAACTTGAACATGGTGTGTGATCTTTCCAATGTGTTCTTGAATTTGATCTGCAAGTACTTTATTGAGGATTTCTGCATCTATGTTCATTAAGAAAATTGGTCTACAGTTTTCCCCTACTGGATTTTGGAATCAAGGTGGCATTGCTTATGTAGAATGAGTAAAAGTGTTCCTTTCCTATTTTATGAGCTAGTAGTGTAAGGAACAATGGTATTGTTTGTGGGAGGTCCTTCTGTCTATGTGTTGCTTTTATTGGTTAATGAATAAAGAACTGCTTTGAGCCTATGGCAGGGATGAACAGAACTAGGTGGGGAAAGCTAGGCTGTATGCTGGGAGAAAGAAAGGCAGAGTCAGAGAGAAGCCATGTCGCCCTGCTGGAGACAGATGCTGGAACTTTATCTGGTAAGACACACTCTCATGGCTATACACAGATCAATGGAGATGGGTTAAATTAAGATGTAAGAGTTAGCTAATAAGAAGCTAGAGCTAATGGGCCAAGCAATGTTTTAAATAATATGGTTTCTGTGTGATTATTTTGGGGCTAAGTGGCCGGAACTAACTAGTGGCCTCCTCCTACAATTGTTCTTCAAAAGTATGACAGAATTCAATAGTGACTCTGTCCAGTACAAGGGCTTTCTTTGTTGAGAAACTGTTACTGCTTTGTTTTGAAGAGAGCAAGCAAAAGCACCTTGACCTAAGCACAGCCATTTTGACTTCAGACTCCATTTTACCTGTAGGGTAAAACAAATTCCATGTTCCTGTGGGGACTGTCTAGAAGCTAACCAACTTTCCCTCTAGGCAACAATCCCTAAAACATAATGCCTGTTCCTAACAACAAGAAGAACAGATGAATCTAACCACTTGGGCATTCTGTGGTGGTTAACAATGATGGAACATATAATGAAAGCCTCTACTCCTGAATCCTGATTGGTGAAAAACGTAACTGTAACTTAGCACAGGTGCAGTTACGGTTTTGTGCTTATAAACCTTGCTTCCGCCCCTCCTGAGTCCTCATCCTGCAGCCCTGGTTGACCGGTGACCCTGCTTGTGTGCGATTTATTAAAGACTCCAGAACCCTAAGTGTGGTCCCACTCCTTCCTCGTGTAGCAAAGGAACACGGCTTTAACAGTTTCTTGTTATTGACCTATTGAGGTTTTGTTTTGTTTTTTAAACCTCTTGGCCCAATTTTGGTAAGCCATAGGTATATAGAAATTTATCAATTGGTTTTAGATTTAACAACTTATTAAAATATATATTTTTTAAAATATTTATTTATTTATTATGTATACAATATTCTGTCTGCATGTATGTCTGCAGGCCAGAGGAGGGCACCAGACCTCATTACAGATGGTTGTGAGCCACCATGTGGTTGCCAGGAATTGAACTCAGGACCTTTGGAAGAGCAGGCAATGCTCTTAACCACTGAGCCATCTCTCCAGCCCCTAAAATATATTTTTTCAAAGTATTCCTTAATGATTTTCTGGATTTTGATATCCCACTTTTCAGCTCTAATTTCATTATTTGGGTCTTCTTTCTCATTTATTTAGCATGGCCTCTAGCAGCTATGTACAGTTCCCATTCCGATCTTTATTCTTTTCTCTTACTAAATTTGGAGTTGTCTTATTTTCATTTTGAGCTACATCACTAAGGTTATTTATTTGTAATCTCTTGTGTGTGGTTTTGAGGGTCAAGCGAAAAGGTCTGGGGAGAGCTGTGGCAATGTACCCTGTGGAAGCTGTGTGAGAAAGGAAAGAAATGTGCTATGGAAGACCCATGTGGTCAATAGCAAACACATAGTAAGATAAACCCTGGAAGATGATTGATGTGGGATGCCCTTCTGTAAGCTGTGAATATGTTTTATTCTAATATAGAACTGCTTTGGCCAATGGCAGGGCAGAATACACCCAGGTGGGAAAGCTAAACTGAATACAGGGAGAAAGAAGGCTTAGTTGGGGTAGCCACCAGTAGCCACCAGAGAAGCAAGATGTGAGATAACAAGTCACGAGCCTTGTGGTAAAATACAGAATAAAAGAAATGGGTTAATTTGAGTTGTAACAGCTAGTTAATAATAAGCCTGAGCTAATAGGCTAAACAGTTTGTAATTAATATTAAGCCTCAGAGTGATTATTTGGGAACTGGTGGGTGGGAGAGAAACCTCCAGTTACAGCTGATTTATTAAGAAACAAACAAAAATCAAATATGACACACCCCCTAGGGGGATGTGGGAAGGATTGGAAGCATTTTGTAGACAGGCAGAACTAAATGTTCATTCAGAAAAGGGTCATCACTGTTCTTTTCTTTAAGATGAACTTTCCCCCATATTTTCCAATCTCTAAAATTAGAAATCATAATTTATAAATTCCTACAATATAAATGGCAGTACCTTTTCTCTTTGAGTGAGAAATAAATAATATTTGATAAACTGATAAAACTAATAAGGCAAGGAAAAGCAGATCAAGGGTTTCTTAGATGGGTGTCATGCTGTGCTGCCCAGGCTGTCCCCACATCTGCATTCCTCCTTTCTTGTCCTCCACAGCTGGGATTACAGGTGTGGGCCTGGCTCAGAAAGAAGCTAATTAAACACATGAAGGCAAATGCATGGAGCAATTAAAGCAACAGTCAGTCTCAGCCTCTGGAAATTGGGGATGGGAGGTAGCATTTTAAGTTATATAGATTCTTTTGACTTTTAAATTTTTACTTACAGCAACCTCAGTTAAAAAAAAAAAAAGCAAAGAATCTATGTGGCAGATCAAAACCCAACATACACTGCCTCCCACTTACAGAAGGAGGCTTGTCCACAACAATCCCCGCGAGCAGCTGAGACTGTGGTCCTGCAGTTTTCAGGTCGTAGCGGTTCTGCTCCCGAATCTGAGCGGAAATAATAAGTTCTTGGGGTCACCATGCAGACGATCTTTGCCTTCTCTTTTCTTAAAGGTTACTGTTTGACATTCCCAAGTAAGAGTCTCTTAAATTTTCACCTCCATGAAGTAAGGCCTCTTTTCACCACCTGAACACTAGCTATTACTAATCTCCACTCTCCTGGTTTTCAGTTTCCTACTGTCTTATGCTGTGAGAGAATTGTACTTCCCACTAATATAAAGGACTTTACAGCAAAAACAGGTTGACTATTTCTTTCTCAGAGCCTGTTCATTGATGACTAGCATAGAGCTGGAGGTATATGATCAAGTTAAAATTAATGAATTTAATTTTTAGATTTTCAATCTCCTAAGCTTGTGACCAGATTCCATCCTTAGTGATTTAACCTAAACAGGACAAAGATATAAGAGCCGTGTCTCACCTTATTTCTCTTTTCTAGCACCTCAGTTGGGTTTGTGTTTAAAGGAACAAACTGATTGGGATCTTCGATTTTGATAGGTGTTCCACTGCTAACTTTAGAGGAGTCCTCTGCTTTCATCCACTAAAGAATAAAGAAAAACCATTTCTAGAGTGAAGCTCCGCATTAAAGAACGATCAGACACTGAGTGGCCGAGTGGTCCCGAGGGGGCATGGTTACTGAGTTGTGTCTTGGTGGCCAGCTGCTATCACACGCTTGTTAGAGAAGCGCTCACTTTAGAGTAAGCAGATGCCATTACAGTGCACATGAGTAATTAATCATATTTCTAACTAAAGCTCTCCCCTCTGACAGCTGAAAACAGGATGCGGAAACTACCCCAGACAGACAGATAGCATGGCTGTCCATTAACTGGCATCTGGAGTTCTGTCTCTTGAAATGAAACTTACTATGTGACAACAGCCAAGAAGTCATAGAAAGACTCAATGATTGTCTTTAAGGTACATTTTTTTTTTTTTTAAAGATTTTTGTCTTTGAGTTTTGGCTGAAATTAGGATAAGACTCAAATCAGGATCCTTTGGTGAATAATCGGAAGCATGTAGCACCATGGGAACCACAGTGTTTAGAGATCCTTCTGGAATTCCTCTCGCTCACTCTACACTCTATCTAACCCTGAGAGAAGGCTAACTAAGATCAGTGGTGGCTGACTGGCAACTCTGATTATGAAATGAATTCTGAGAAACTTGTGAGTTTAATTATGTCTCTTTCCTGGAGATAACTGAATTAGATAATTCCATACAGAGTGTTATTTACTTATATGAAGGCTGAACTAATTTTCAGTAGCTAAGGAGTATTTGGTGGAGCTGGGGCTGAGGTGCAAACCGTCCCAGTACTCGGAAGGCAGAGGTGGGGCAGGTTTCTGTGAGTTCAGCCAGCCAGGGATACATAGTAGGACAAGTCAAATCTAAACCAAAAAGTTTAAAACAGATACAATAACTCAACCTCCATCATCTACAAGGTCATGCTTTAAAAAAAATCCTAATATAATGTATACTGACTCAGGCAATTATGGCACAATTTGGTGTTGCAAGTGCTCATGTTCTAATGCCCTGGGCAATGCCAGCCACACAGCAGGGTCATGTGGTGGGTAAGAAGAAGGCTCAAGACACTGCTGTCATTCAAACTCTGGTTCAACCATAAAGAAACAGTTAACTTTGGTTTTCTCATCTAAAAAAAGGAGAAAAAGAGAATCCATTTTTTTATTAGAAGAAAGTGAGATTATTCATGTATGAGGCTTAGAACAGAGCCTTACATTTAATACCTGGCAGTGGTATTATTTTACATCCTACTTTCCTAACAGCTCAGATGGGGACACTCATGAGATCAGGCAAGCATCTATGCAGAATGGAGGCATACTGTGATTTTGGTCCTGGGACTAGTTTCCCCGTTCCGAGACTCTTCCGGCACATTCACTTTCATGTACGTATTTGGGGAGTTCAGCCATCTTGTTTTCTCCCGCTGCTGTCTCTGTGCCATGTACTTGAGAGGAGAGAGAGGCACAGTATCATCCTCAAAGGAGAAAGCAGTCACAGTTGCTGGGATCTCCACATCACTCTTGTGCCGAGGCTTCTCTCGAACGAGAGGATGCCTGTATGCATAGCCTGTTCGGTAGCCCTGTGGGAGGGAAACGCCACACTGAATCAACCAAACCCGTTCCAACAAAGCACTCGGAGGTTCCATCTTTAAACAAATGGTTCAGAGAGTCCCTGTTGAAGGACAGGAGGGAGAATAAGCTGCACGTAGCCTCCATGCAGCACTGGAGCTGAGATGACGCCCATCTGAAGATGTGTGTGAAACTGTCTACAGCTGGCGCCCCAACTTCTACTCAGCTGACTTCTACACTTGACACTCAGAGACATTCCTGCTATGAGATAGATTATAGGGAACCAGAGCTGGGAGCCTTTGCTTGTAGGTCTAAAGACAACCTGTCTCCTGACCCTCCATCAAGATGGTAAACAATCTAAGGTGACATCTGCTAAGCCATGGATCTTTTTTTTTTTTTTAATTTTTCAAGACAGGGTTTCTCTGTAGCTTTTGGTTCCTGTCCTGGAACTAGCTCTTGTAGACCAGGCTGGCCTCGAACTCACAGAGATCCGCCTGCCTCTGCCTCCCGAGTGCTGGGATTAAAGGCATGCGCCACCACCGCCCGGCTAAGCCATGGATCTTGAAGGGGTTAATATCCAATATGTCTAAGGAACTAAATAAACCAAGTAACAAGAACAACCTATTAAAACACAAACAAAGGACCTGAATAAATATTCTGCAAAAGACGACACTCAAATGCACAGGTCTATGAAAAGGGCAAATGAAACCACACCTGTCAGGGAGTCTATTTATTATCAGGCAGAAGAAACGAGTCTTGGGGGAGGACAAGAAAGAGACAGATGCTGCTGTGTACTGTTTGGTGGGTCTGTAAATCACTATATCCATAAGGAAGCGGCATGGAGGCTCCTCATCATAGTACAAATAGAATAGCTACATGGCCCAGGCACCTCACTACGTGATGCTGATCTGCAGGAAGTAAATCAGCACGTGAGGATCCCTGCACTCCCACTGTCATTGCAGAATTAGTCACAATAACTAAGAGAGGAAATCAACCCGTCTACCAAGAGATGAATGGATGAAGAAAATGTGGTGAGCAAGTTTACTAACAGGGGTTTGCTTTGGAAAGGGACAGTCTTCTGTTGTGTAAACTTCTGTAAAATTTTGAGCTTTGTGAATTCATTTATGTCTCAATAAAACACACATCAGCCTTTCTCACTCTCCAGCCATCTTGGTGACTGATCTTGGTTGGGGGCTGTCCCACACCTAAGGCAGGAAAATGGTGGCCTCAAGACGAAGAGAAAATCTCTGGAGCCTATCAACTTTAGACTCCAACTTGTTATAAGAAGTGGTAAGTACATGCTGGGATACAAACAGACTTTAAAGACGACCAGATAGGGCAAAGCGAAATTGGTTATCCTCACCAACAACCTGCCCAGCTTTGAGGAAGTCTGAAATAAAATGCTATGCCATGTTGGCTAAAACTTTTGTCTGTCACTACAGTGGCAATAGCATTGAATTGGGCACAGCATGTGGAAAATACTACAGAATATGCACACTGGCTATCGCGTGATTATGATATTATTTTAATAATATTAGTATGCCATAACAGACTGGTGAAAAGTAAACCAGAAAAGTTTTCCTTTAATAAAACTTTACCTGAGCTCCTTTTAACAACAAACAAAACCACACATAAAATGTCGGGTAAAAGAAAGGAAACCGTGGACTAGGCATAGTGGAAAGCTACACAGCCTGCTAAATTGGTGGCAATTTGAACTTAGAGGACATTATGGTAACTGAAGTAACTCAGACATCAAAAAACAAATACAATATGGACACACCTACATTTGCAATCTAAAAAAGTTGAGTTCATAGATGCAATTAAGTGGTGGTTACCAGAGGACAGAGGACACTGGTCCAAAATTACAACCTTTAATCATGTAGGAGGATTCAATTCAAGAATATGCTGTAGGGGCTGGAAAGATGCCTCAGTGGTCAAGAGCACTGGCTGCTCTTCCAGAGGACACAGGTTCCATTCTCAGCACCCACAGGTTATAGCTCACTAACTCTAACTAGGAGATCCAGTGCTCTCTTCTGACCTCTACAGGCACCAGGCATACACATCACACACAGACATTCATGCAGGTAAAAAACACACACACACACAAAGAATTTTTCAAAGGGGAATATATTCTATAATGTGGTGACTATAATTAATCACAGCATGTTCATGGGGGAAAGGGAAATATCTGTGTATCTCACTGCCTGATTCTTAAAACTGCAGTGAAATTACACTGCAGTGCCTTTGTAGCCTCTGGCTCTGGTCCTGAAGAAGTTAGAAGTATGTCCTAAACCAAGGGAGATGGAATCCATTGTTCTTGAATTCAGACCTGAAACTCAAGTCTAGGCTCAAATTTCACCTACCAAATTGTCCAGGGTCCTCATGAGTCCTTCAAACTCAATCTCGCCAGTCTTCCACTTCTGATGGGAACCCATATTTACACCACCTCCTCCAGACGTGGCTACACCATGGGTGGAAGCTTTATACTTCTGAAGATCCAGTATGAGCAGATTGTCTACTCCCCCTGCTCCTGCTATGGCCCGCACCTGTAATCAGTGGTGAAACACAGATATGGAAATTGAAGACAGTGACAAGGATCTTACTGTCCAAAAGCCACAATTGCATTTGGGCAACAGCTCACAAGATGCATCAGCTGCTACTAACAAGTAAGAGCCACGCTCATGCTCTTGTGCAGGCAGCAGCGGCAGAGCCTTTCCCGTCCACCTGGAACAATGCCTGCTGGGACTCCATACTTCAGCTGGGAAGAGCATTGGAAGCCACATGTTTAACAGATTTCAAGTAACTGGGCTTGCTTGCTAAATTTTAAAGCTCTTTTCTTGCAAACTTTCCCACGGCTATCTAGCTACGGCTTTTGTTGAAAGCTGTACACTGAGAAGGAATATGGAGATACTGCAGTTCACACTTAAGGACAGTTAATCAGAGGGTAACGCTCATTATCTTCGTTAAGCTTCTTACAGCCCACTTGAGAAGGACCTTAAAGAGGTTGGACAAGACGACTTAGAGATAGTAGACAAAGACTCAGCCTGGTAGCCATTCTTGAAATTTTAACTTTAGAGGCTATGGCAGGAGGATGTCAAGTCTGAGGCTAGTATCGGCTACACAGAGAGATTATGTCTCCTCAAGTTAGCAGAAACAGGTGTTGACTGTTATTTACTTCATGTGAGTCTGCTTGACTTTAAGAGGGATATTAGAGCTTCTGCATATGCTCAGCATCTCTGAGGAAAGCGGGCAATAAACATCCAGTGTGCTATTGTAACACAGAGGTTAGGTGGCTGCTAACCACATGAGTTCATAACCCAGCTCCTGATTTGCAGGCACCTCTGTTACTTGGCCAGCACCATCACTAGAGGAGAAACAAAGTAAGACTGTAGGCAAAATGATGTTTGCCAGGCTCTGAGATTGTGGGCATGTGAATTTTAATTTCTTTTCCTTTTTTTTTTTTTTTTACTTCAAAGGATAACTGAGTTGACAAGCTTTGTTATCAAAATAGACGAGAATTTCTATTAAAAGAAGCCACTGGCCAATAGGGCTTTGAAAATAAACACAAAACTCAACTCATCTGGCAAATGTAAAGCAATAAAAGGAAATGACCGTCTCCTACCTGAATTTCACAGGCCATCTGCACGTTAAAAATGTAATGGAAAGCCTCCTCAAGGGTCTCTCCAAGTGCCACCACACCATGGTTCCTGAGTACCAGCACCTAAAGTAGAGGCCCAGAGCACACTTGAACTGCACAGCTCACGGTGCTCGACCAAGAGCAGCAGCGGTAACAACAAAAGCCCCTGGGATAGACTACTACATACCTTACAGCTGGGACCTAAAACTTTCTGAAGTTCAATTCTTTCCTCTTCTTCATCAAGGGACCCCTGGTAGTCATAATAGGCTACATCTCCCAGGATAAGGGACTCTTGGGAAATTGGAAGGATCCCACACTTCATGGAGGACACCTATTGATTGGATCCAAGATTACACACTTAGTTATTGTGCACAGATTGGAACATGGTTCTTAAGGAGCCCAGGAAGCAAAGCACTGGGGTGATGCAGTACTTGCCACTACAGTGCAGCCCACCTCCCACTCTAATTCTAACTTCTAGAAAGAGAAGGGGGCGAGTTGAAGGGACAGAACACTAATTCAAATGCATGTCAAATATTGTGGAAGATGTTCTCTCCTCAAATCCGCACTGACCCAATTATTAAACTGCTGAGTTTTAACGTTTTTATTATTTATTTTGTTTTACATGCATAGGTGTTTTGCTGGCATGTGTATCTATATGAAGGTGTCAGAACTCCTGAAGCTGGAGTTACAGACAGTGGTGAGCTGCCGTGTGGGTTCTGGGAACTAAACCCAGGTCCTCTGGAAGAGCAGACAGTGCTCTTAACTGCTGAGCCATCTCTCCAGCCCTAAACTTCTTAGTTTTTAAACCCACACTTATTTCTGCAAGTGTTTCCTAGAGCAGTAGCATTTGGTTCCAAGAACTTGTTGCTGTGGAAATGTACAGGAGCTAGCAGGGTGACAGAAGACACACTGGGAAGCACCATGCTGGGAAAATTGTGAAAACTGTGCTTTCTATAGTCATTCTGGTTGAGCACATGGCTGACTTACAGCTGCAGTAGCAAGGGTGTGAATGTGTATCACACACTTCACATCAGGACGTGTTGAATAGATTGCAGCATGGGGGCTGAATCCTGTATGGTCAATTTTCAAATTAGTACTTCCCTGGTCAACCACTTCTCCTATTATATTGACTTTCACCTGGAAAAATCAGAAAGATATATTTAATTGATATATTTATACAAAATTTCATCTATATCCCACAGCTGACCCAGGGTGGGGCAAGTTTGTCCAGATAGTGTTTTAGATGTTATGGGTCCTCTATTTCAACAACTGAACTCGTCACACAGAACAAAGGCAGCCAGAAACAATTTGTAAAAGAAAGGGTATAGCTTTGTTCCTTTAAAATTTTAATTCTAAAATAAGTACTATGTAACAAAAGCTAGCATTTAGATAGCAAGAAGCACAGATTCCAGGACCTGGAGGTTTGGACAAAGTCTAGCATTTGCTGTAACTGGCTGGAAATGGCCATTTGTTTACACTACAGCACCGGGACTAGCATGATTCCAGTTGTTTTCGAGGCCCACGGCAGCAGCTGGCCATGCAATCACAGAGAAAAGGGAATGCAGGGTAGAGGCCATCCTCACACCAACTAAACTGTTTAAATCGACCTGTGGACTATATTTTGACCTTTTTTGGAAATTTTTTTCTATGTATACAAGTCAGACAGTATTTACAATACAAGTAGGGCCGGGTGTGGTGGTACATACCTTTAATCCCACACTTGGCAGGCAGGGTTCTGTGAGTTTGAGGTCAACCAGGACTACCTAGTGAAACTGCTGTCTCAGAAAAGGAAAGTCAGGTAAGGTAATTCTAACTCAGTCTACTAATGTTCTCAATCATCTGAGTTTTCTTCGATTCTGAAATTTATATTAAAAACAAGGGTATCCAGAAAAAGTAACAGAGGAATGAGAACAATACCAGAGTAGAGGCTGTAGCTTCAGAAAAAGAGAGGCCTCTGGGAATGATGATAATGTGGTCTTGCTCCTTACTGATGCGCACCTGGAAGAAGAAAACACAGGACTTACTCTGCGGCACCGTACCACAGCACGAGCATGGCTATAGGTTTCCAATGCACAGGGTCTGGAGGGAAAAGCTCCTCCTGCGAAGTCAAGGTAAGAGCTGATGTGGGGAAACCAAGAACGACCTGAAGAAACAAGCCTGGGGTGGCCTGCGGAGTAGCCGTCTACTGTTTCCATCACGGTAGCTCGGTGGTTTCTATTCCAACGGTGCCATTCATCCAAGTGTGGCAAAGTGAAAACAGATGGCAGCGAACAGGAAAAGTGCCTTCATTCATTCATTCATCCATTGGTTTATTAGTTTACGAAGTATAGGTTTCATTACTCTCTTCTCCTTCCTCCTGCCTAGTCGTCGTTGTCGTGCCCCCCCCCCCCCCCCCCAGAAGCCTCTCTTTTACTCTCACGGCAATTCTGGCTCAGGCTTAGGAAACAAGGATCTAATGCTCTCTCACATGTGGTTCCTGACAGCCAGTGCTTGTCTGTATGCAAATAAGGAAAAGTGTACTTAAAGATTACAAACACCAGGGAGGGACCCTTCCTGTCCTCCGCTTTCCCTGCCCCAAGGGCTTCTTAGTGCCACCGAGGCTCAGCTACAGACCCTGGAAAGGGATGATCTGCACTTCTGGGGTAGGCTCTACAGCTGGACCGCAAGGGAACTTCACAGGTGAGAGGAAGGGAAGAGAAAGCTGGGGATTAGTTTCTTCCTTGGAGTTAAGGGTTACCTGATCATTCAGTCTGAAGATGAGAGATCACAGTTAGCATCTAGCTGGCATTTCAGAAAAAAGAACCAAAAGTACTCACTGAGATGTATGTATTTGCCAGGTGTGCCCATCCGAACAAGTCTGTGAGTCTGTACAGGCTGGCCAGTTTGCAACGAGTGAGTTTCTCTCCCTTCACATAGCAGGATGTATCTGCACCAGGAAGGTCATTAATAGGTGTGACCATGCCAAGACCTAAGTGGAAACAGTGCGAGAGAGCTGAGTCAAACAATTCTTTAACCTAGCAATTAGGTCCCAGCAAGCAGCCCATGTGTTGTTGATTCCAGTTTTGCAAACAGCCTGAAATTTATCAGCGCACACAACAGTTTATTAGTTCAGCCTCCTTCCAGAGCAGGGTACTGAGAGCAAAAACAAGGGCTGTCATCTTCGCTGATGATGTGGTGAGGGTACTTCACCTAGTTCCTGTGAGTCAGCAACTGCCACTCATATCGCTGGGAGAAGATGGGCAGATGACCCCAAAGGTAAAAATGCTACTAAAGAAACAAAAACACAGCTATTTCTTACCTTATAATGAAAAGACATCAATAGAAAGAGTTCTAATATCTCTTTTGACATATTCAAATATAAGAACATCTAAAATGGAAAAAAAAATGCAAGCAAATAGTTGCCTGGCTTTGGCCTTCCTCTAACTCCCAAGCCCAGCTGTTACAGCTGGCGTCCAGCTCACTGTTGACCTTTCGGGGCTCCCTCCTCCTCCCTAGAGTCTGTCCCCAGGCCCAGGATGCTGTGCTGACTCCTGCCTGGCTCCCTTTCCTCCTAGTCTAAGTTCTCTTCTCCCACCTTCCTCCAATGTGGTTCGTGCCCCGAGCTCAGGCTTCTGTTACACTCCTGCCTTACTTTATGTCTCCCTGTAAAAACATTTTATACTCTCTCTGGTATTATTTTGCGAGGTCATCTTCATCTCTGATCAGGTACCCCCCTCCTTCTCCGTTCTGCTATTTCTAATGGCCTGTGGCAGAGTAACATATAAACAGAATTGGTTTTTGCTCTTTTGACCCCTTCTTCCTGCCCAGCCTCTCCCCCAGACGCCCCCCACCTTCAGAAGCCTCTTTTCTACTCTCATGTCACTTACAACTCAGTCTCAGAAGACAAAATCCAAAAGCGATTTTATTTTGTCTCACTTTTCTTCCTGTCTTCTCTTTATTTCTCTAGTGTTGACAACATTACAATTTGGACAAACTCAATTATTAACAATCTTTACTCCTTTTTGTTATTTCCTCCCTCCCTCCCTTCTTTTTTTGGTTTCGAGACAGGGTGTCTCTGTGTAGCTTTTGATCCTGTCCTGGAATTTGCTCTGTAGACCAGGTTGGCCTCGAACTCAAAGAGATCCGTTTGCCTCTGCCTTCCAAGTGCTGGGATTAAAGGTGTGCTCCACCACCACCCAGTTATTTTATTTTTCTTAGACGACAGGGCCTTACTATGTAACCTTGGCTGGCCTGGAACTTGCTATGTAGACCAGGCTAGCCTAGAACTCAAGAGAATTGCCTGTTTCTGCTTCCCCAGTGCTGGGAACAAATGATGTTCCACCACAGCCAGCTAAAATACTTTACTTTTAGCCGGGCGGTGGTGGCGCACGGCTTTAATCCCAGCACTTGGGAGGCAGAGGCAGGCGGATCTCTGTGAGTTCGAGACCAGCCTGGTCTACAAGAGCTAGTTCCAGGACAGACTCCAAAACCACAGAGAAACCCTGTCTCTAAAAAAAAAACCAAAAAAAAAAAGTTTACTTTTAAATAAAATTTTATAGTCATCATTATTTTATTCTTTACTCTTTTTCTACTTCCAAAGTAACTTAGCTTGTTTTCACACAATCACAAAAAAATTTTCCAAACTGATCATTTTCACTTCTCGACACTCCCAGGTTACACATGGCTTTCCTGCTGCCCTGCTTGGCATCTACGACCCCAATGCGTGTTCCTGATGTGGACCTTAGGATGCTCAGAGGGGAGAGTCTCCTGCTGGCCTTTAGAACTTCTAGATTTCCCCTTTGGACTCCCACTCCACCTCTGCCGTCTTCTGAGAAGCCATGTGCAGAGGCTCCTTGGGTAATTCTTCTCTGTATCCACCTGCCAAGACTTTCTGCTGAGCTCTCACCTGTCACAGCTCAACAACTTAAAGCAAACATGCCACAAGTTGTACTTCTTTCATTTTTCAAGCAAAACTGGATCCTAAACTCCGGCCCTTCCTACTTTTCTTATTAACCCTATAAAATCTTCAGGTCCATTTTTGCTCAGAGAATCTAGTGGGGCTTTGAAAATCACTCTCCAGTTTAAAAATGTCTTCCCACAAGTGGGAACAAGATTCGAACGTTCAAGCCTGGCGATGACAGCTGACGCCCAGCCATCCTACCGCCACATTTAAATAACACTGCCTGTCTGCGCTGTCATCTCATTCTGTTCTATTTGTCTCCTAAGAGAACAAGCAGGCTATGATTTTTTTTTACTGCTCACTGAAGAGCTCAAACTTATCTGTTTTTCCTTCCTTCCTTCTTTCCTTCCTTCCTTCCTTTCTTTCCCACTCAGCACATTTACCAGGTTCCAGGGTTGGATATTTTCTTTCCATCTTAAGACATACCATACACCTTACTCTTCAAGCATCAGTTTAAATGTGACCTCCTCTAAGAGGTTGTCTCTGATGACCTTATCTTCGTATGAGCCAGACGCTGCCAGCACATAATCACACTGTAATTCTCTGCATGGCACTCTCTACAGTCTGATCATCTTTGTATAGTGGATTATCACAGTCCAAGAGAAAAAGAATCTTGCTAGTGTAGTCCTTGTCCCTAAAACAGTGCTTGGTACAAATGTCCACTGTTACAGAGTGCTTAAAAATAGCTCGAGCTGTGCATTTCTGTTTCTGCTGGAAGACTGCTTCTCAGAAGCCACTAGGTGACTCACACACTCCTCCCCAGCACGTCAGGCCTGCCACTAAGCTCTCTTTGGTTCTCAGCTCTGTTCTCCCTGTTTTCCTCCCTCATATATCTGCAACCACATATCTAATCCAGGTATTTACATTTCTCATTGAGATTCCTTCACGGTCTTTAAATGATCTGACTTTAGTTTCTTTTCCTTCCCTGGCACTCACTCAGACCATCAGCTAGAATTCTTTCTTCACATGGGTTTGCACTTTCTGGGCTGGCAGCTGTCTTGGGTCTGACAGTGAAGGGTCTTTTCACTCTGACTCACTTCCTTTCCCTAGACTGCGATCCCAGGACCCAGGCCTGAGGCAGTGGTGCATCTGGTTCTACAAACACCCCTGCCTGGCACTCTCCTACTATCATGCCTCAAGTGTTTGGAAAATACCTGAAACAAAAAATCCTTAGAGCCCTCTATTGAGGAAAGAAAGAGAAAAAAGGGCACAGATAAAAGAAAGAGCAAATGAAGGCCCCTATCTCCAGTCGTCCATGAAGCAATGCTCACTAGTTCTCTGTGGCCTGCACATCTGCCCTTCACTGAAGCAATTCTGAACACAATCACAGACCAGAGTATTCAGCCAATGGGTCGTAGTCCTCGAGGGAGTTCAGGGATACAAAATGCAGCTCTTACTGATGAGCTACGGAATGAAGAAACACCCACTGCTTTACACAAAGCTCTCTAACTGATCTTCCTCTTTCTGTCAAGGTTTCCTTCAGTCTTCTTAAGGCAATAATCAGCTCCAACTCTCAGCTCATAGCATGAGGACACAGGGAAGAGTAACACATGATTTCTTGTGAATGGCTTTTTAACTTTTCCCTTTACAGTTACTGTTATGTTTGAATCTGAAATGTCCACTACAGGATTATGTGTTGAATGCCTGGTCCCCAGTTTGTGCCCTGTTGTGAACACTCTCCAGCCTTTGGCAGGGGGCTGGCTGGTGAGAAGCAGACCACCACGGACAGGTCCACTCTGCTCACTCTGCTCCCAGTGCTGTGAACAGCTGCTCTGCCTCAGGCTCCCAACTCAGTCAGAGCTGTTTCGCCTTTCCTGCCATGGGGGACAGAAACTGCTCTGACACTGTGAGCCAAATAAAGCAATATAACCACTCCAGTGGTCTCCAGGGCTATTCCAACATATCCATCTGGGGTAGGGATTGTCTTATAATATGCTGCTGTTCTAAGTGTCAGATGTTATTAACATTTAGAAGGTATTGGTGCTTGAACCTATGGCCTTGTGCCTGTGCACTGACCACTGAACCACATCCTCAGACCTTTCCCCCCCTACTTTTGAGGGTCCTCATTAATTTACCTTGTCTTTGATATTATGTCCTTGATATTATGACTCTTTGCTTCCCCTCCAGAGGAGTCACGGTAGGCTTGTGCCACCAGACCTAGCTCTATGCTATACACTTAAGGGCTGAATCTGAACAGAATAAGCAGCTGGACAGTAGTGTTCCACAGCAGAGAAAACAAAATCACAGTTGACATACTCAGGGAAGGAGAAGAAAAGCCTGAGAAAGAGTTGGTCATGATGTAATCGGCAATCTGCTGTAAGGCTAGTAAACCAGTTGGGTTGTGGCCTTTCTTCATCTGTTCTTGGATGAGGCATTCCAGGTCTTCCCGAAAGGCCTGTAATACACAAAACAACTGTCTGAGCACAGACATCTCACATGGAACTTGTTGTTTACATGTATAAACACTTTCTCCCAAACCTCTTCTGAGGGTTTTTTCCTATGCAATGGAAAATCAAATATGAAACAAAAAAATAATAAGACACTAGAAAGAGCAAGAAGCTCTTAAGGAAGAAAAATATTGGACATTCTCAAGCTCAGACATGCCTGAGCAAGTTGAGTCACCTTGAGCTACAACTCAGCCCAGGAAGAGGGTCGGCCGTCCTTCCTACAGCACCACGGGGCCACACCAGGAAGAGGGTCGGCCGTCCTTCCTGCTGCACCCTGGGGGCCACACCAGGAAGAGGGTCGTCCTTCCTGCTATAGCACAGGGGACACACCAGGATCTGGGTTATAGGCAAACCCACAGCAGCTCCCGCTCTCTCAGCAGTGGCGGGCAGAGTGCACAGGGGAGATGAGGTGCAAGACCTACTCTCACCCACACAGGCCGTGTACTTAATGGATACCGTCTGGATGGTAGACGGTCTGAAGTTCTTGGGATGATTTAGGGAAAATACAAAAGCCAAAAGGAAGAAGCTATGCTTTCTGATAAAAAGGCAAGTGGATATTTGAATTATTAATTAAAAAACTGCTAAAAATGACCAGATTAGAATCCTGAGGCCATGAAACAGCTTATATTTATATTATAATCCTGAGTCCATGAAAACATTTTTTTCCATTATAGATTTAAGGCCTGTTAAATATAAATCATCAGTACAATTATAAAAATTGTAAAAACACAGTCAGGTAGTGGTAGCACTCAGGAGGCAGAAGCAGGCAGGTCTCTGGGAGATCGAGGCCAACCTGGTCTACAGAGTGAGTTCCAGTATAGGCTCCAAAGCCACAGAAAAACCCTGTCTCAAAAGAAACTAAAAAGTAAAAACACATAATTGTATTTAAATATATGACTGAAACCAGATCAATTATCCTATAAAAATCCTCTAAGACATATTACATTTATTAGAAAACTATTTCCAAGACCCCATGGATAAAATATATGAGCTGTGTGTAAGACAAATTGATACCCTTATAAAGATGAGTAAAGTAAGTATTTTACCACGCTGACGGCTGCAAGGAAAAGCAGTTCCAGACAGCCTCATTCATCTTTATACACTATAGAAAAAACCTGGACACATGGCCAATCTGCTCTTGTAAAATTGTATCTTCCCTTTAAAATAAAACCATTTAAACATTCCTCAGCTTAAAGCAGCCATAATTAATATTCTTTGATTCAGTTAAAAAATAGTACCTACGATATATATCACTCATTCTATACATAAGCTGTGAGAAAGGGACACAGTCGATTTTATTTAGTGTCCTTGGTCTCATATTCTCCCAGGAAGCCTTTAAGGTAGCTTCCAATAGATTAAAATGAACAAAAATAAAACAATGTAAACATAGGCAAGGAAAGTCAACCTGATGAGAAAAATAAGCCCAGGGATGATGGTAAGAAAAAGGAATGAGGTTATGGTACTACGTGCACACTGTAAAGTTGCATACATTTGCTACAACTGGATTAAAATTTATCTAATCCTCCAACGAAAACCTGCTCAGTGTACTGATTATATATATATATATACATATATATATATTAACTTCAAGATTAAAGAGCAACTTGCTGCTCAAGAAGTTACACATATTTGTTAAACTGATAAAAATCTCTGCAGAGATGGTACAGCTTCACAAGGTTTTCCAAAGTCACACAGGTATTAAATGGCAGGGTAAGGACACAGACAAAGGCTTTTGTTGGTAAAAATGTTCTCATTTTGGTGGTGGTGCATAACTTTAATCCCAGTACTTGGGAGGCAGAGGCAGGCAGATCTCTGAGTTCAAGGCCAGCCTGGTCTTACAAAGCAAGTTTCAGGATAGCCAGGGCTACATAGAGAAACCCAGCTTTGAAAAAACAAAACAAAATAATAACAATAATAATAATAAAAAATGAAATAAAAAGGTTCTCACTTCCGTAGAACCCATAACATAATAAGCACCACCCTAAAGTTTTGAATTATTTGTGGTGCCATGGGAGGCTGTAAAAGCCCTTCTGAAGTCAAGGATGAGTGTGCCCTTTAAAACCAAATGGCTTTTCTGTATTATAAAGAAAGCTATTTTTAATGTAAATAAACATAGCCTAACCTTTTCATATAGTTGACAATACATCAATATAATTTTTTTACAGCTAAAGATTTAAGTTTTGGTCACATACATTCACAATTCAGTTTCTGTTTCCTGTGTTTTTGGAAGGTTACTCAGATAACCACTTAGATCATAAAACAGCAGTAACTATGACAAGTACTACTGATAAAAACTGTTTCGGTTCATTTTAGAAAACTTACTAAATTTACTCAACTTTCAAACATTCAAAGAGCCAGGCAAGGTGATATACACTTTAAAAAAGCACTTAAAAGGCTGAGGCAGGAGGATGTTGAGTTTGAGAACAACCTGGGGTACAAACTGAATTCCAGGCCAGCCAGTGTGAGCAACATATTAAGGCTCTATATTACAATAAAGAAACCAATAAAGGTACTTAGTCTTTAAGATGAATCATTAACCACATTCTTACAACAATCAAATGTCAATAAAGTAATTATTTGTAGTTGGTTTACATGAACACATGAAAAACTCCTAAAGTATGCAATGACTTGTCCTAGGCTGCATAGCTAATAAGTAAAGGCAATAAAAATTGAAAGCTCAAGTTTTCGCGTGGGCAGAGGCTCTTCCCTAACCTTACCATAGCTGGCCTGGGGTGCACTGCCGAAACCAAATATAAGGCAGCAAGCGTGCTGTGAGCAGAAATGCTGAGTGAGCGCTCGCTGCATGGAGCATTTGGTTGGATGTGGATAAAGCAGATGGGGTTATCTAGTGGGCTTTAGCAATCCTGGAGCACTGGGCTGAGTGTCTGCCCTGGTACAACAAGAGCTCATCAGAGCACAGTGCGACACTAGGTTAGGAGCAGGCAAGCTTACACCCTGGCTTCTAACAGGGACAGCCAGCTATCACAGCAACAGCAACACATATACAAAACAGTTAAGTAAGTTTACATACAAACCCACGGCACAAACGCTATCTTCCTCCTCAGAAGACCATTAACAAAGGAGGAACCAGAGATTGTGATATTCTATAAACAGTACAATTAACTCAGAATGCTATCAGAGTGACAGAATCTTTTAAGAACATCAAAGAACAGATCATCAGCAAGACATCATGACTATAATTGTCAAAGGATTGCCACAAGAGTGCCATGTGCTTTAACTTAGCAATTTATGCATACAATTTCTATAAAACTATTGTGTGACATTTTGATTTCATTTTGACAATGAAGCTTGCTTTGAGTCAGAGGGGGGAGGCAGGACTCAGACAGGATCTCAGTCTTTTAGGACGGAGGAACGAAAAAAGAGGAAGTCATTGGTGGCTTCTCAGCTTCTCTGATCATCAGGGTCTTACCCCACTATCTGACTCCCGATTTTTGACTGAGAGAATAATTAGATAAACGCCTCACAAAACACATGGCCACAGTGTACTAGGCACCCTATTACATACTTTAGCTGCTTCATTTTGTTTTCACAGCAAATGCGTAATTTCCTTATTTACCAGTGAGGAAACTGAAGTGCAAGCTAAGTGAGTTTCCTAATAAATAATGGATGAGCTAAGATTTGAACACCAATTCAAAACAACACTGTACACAAACGCATTATGTATTACATTTAAAAACAGGTTTAAACTGGAAGTAATGAGAAAATATGTTGGCTCTTTGGAACTTCAGGAGTTGCATAATCAAGTGCCTTATAACTTTCCTGGTTTTATCTGCCTGCCCTTATAACTTAATGCCCTGGTCTCTTCACAATGTGCATTTCCATGTGCTTACTCATTGTACTGTGTCAGATGCAAGGGCCTGCATCCACTGCTCCTCTTCCTAAGGAATTCTTGCCCTTGATCGAACACTTGTCTTAAATGCAGCCTTCTTCTTGGAGTTCCTTCTAAACCTCCTAGCTAGGAGGACTCTCAGAATTTCATCTCCTTATGGCCCATTCTCAACTCTCTACAGTTCCTTCCACCATGTCCACAGCCTGTCTTACACCTGTGCTGCTCAGCTTTCCTCCTATGCTACCACGGATGAGTGCACACGGTTAGGACACTGGGCCTTGCATTTTCTAGAAGCACTGCGTCTAGTTTATCTCAGTTACCAGTTTGTTTTCCCCATTTTCCTAGGTAAAAGTGAAGAACCTTGACTTGAGTAAAAGAAGGCAGAGATTTACCCCATGGGTTATTACTTAGAAAACAGTCTTGTCAGTCTGTCCCTTGAATGGAGGGTTGGTTCCTGTGTAATAGCTGTATAAAACTGTCCATCGTCTACTAGGATAAGTGATTTTTTAAAAAAACAAGATTCCAACTTCATTAGATGTTTAACATTTTCAAGAAGTCATTTAATGTTGTGACTTAAAGTCCTATTTGAAAACTTAGTTTGCCTCTAAAGTATGACACTTTGAACAGCTCTCTCATCAAATACAAGTCTAAAATAATACTCTATATAATGCTTGGATTAAAATGCTAAAGTTAGGAAGTTAAGCTTATCTGAATCTTGAATCATTTTATTTTCTTTCATTGTTGAAAAAGACCATAAATTAAATTTCATAAAATATAGACAAAAAAAGGCTCGAAACAAAAGCTAAAGAGGCTAGAAAGAAAGCTCAGTTGGTAGAGTGCCTGCCATGCCAATATGAAGACCTGAGTTTAATCCCCAATACTTATATAAAAAATCAGGGAGCCGGGTGGTGGTGGCGCACGCCTTTAATCCCAGCACTCGGGAGGCAGAGGCAGGTGATGTGGGAGTGTCATATATCAATCTGTTGATTTCATTGGTTAAGCAATAAAGAAACTGCTTGGCCCTCATAGGTTAAAACATAGGTGGGAGGAGTAAACAGAACAGAATGCTGGGAGGAAGAGGAAGTGAGGTAAGACGCCTCGGACAGACTCGACAACTCTGCTCTCTGGAGCAGATATGCCATGCTCCCCTCTCCCGGGCAAACACGATAGCTCTGCTCTCTGAGGCAGATGGCGATGCAGCCAGCCACCAGGTCAGACATGCTGAATCTTTCCTGGTAAGCGCACCTCATGGTGCTACATAGATTATTAGAAATGGGTTAAGAGGCTGAAACTAATGGGCCAGGCAGTGTTTAAAAGAATACAGTTTGTGTGCAATTATTTCGGGGCATAAGCTAGCGAGGCTGCCCTGGTGCTGGGGACGCAGCCCCGCTGCTCAAATTACTACAGGCAGGCGGATCTCTGTGAGTTCGAGGCCAGCCTGGTCTACAAGAGCTAGTTCCAGGACCGGAACCAAAACAGCTATGGAGAAACCCTGTCTCGAAAATAAAAATAAAAATAAAAAAAAAATCAGGGCATGCCATGGGTGCAACAGTGGCAAGACTGGTTAGAAGAGTAAGCAAGCGCTTTCCATTTGTATGTAAGGCCTGTGCCACGAAGGAAATACATGTCTGATTCTGTAAACCTGACTAAGCATCCATGAAACTCATAGTCCCAAGGATGAACCTAACTATTTGCTAAATGAACATAATATCAAACTATGCTATAAATGTGTTTCTCTATACCTATAGATTAATACAGCTCTCAGTCCTCATCGGAGAAATTTTTTTGTGCGGTAGATGGCTGTTAATGCAGAAACTCACAGTGGTTGAAGTACAGAGAATCAACGTCTGTAGAGGACTCAGTCATAGCAGGACATCTTTATCACACCTCCTGCCCTAAGGCACAGAGAACACCAGGAGGAGGAGGGAGAAAGACTGTTAGGAGCCAGAGGCTGGAGAGGATTGGGGGAAACAGTGTCTTCTGGACTCACAGTAGCTGTGGGTGTCTGCATGAGCGCTCCAGCGTGGAGGGAAAGGGGCTTACAAGCTCCCATCATAAGCCGAGAAGCAACTGACAGTTCAGGGCTCCTCCAGGAGGGAAGAGACTGCTCCAGTGCATGGGCCCCATACTGATGTGTACACGGCAGCAAAACTGTCGTACATACATGGCAGGGAGTCGGAAGAGCTCGAGTGAGGTGTGCAGGGTAACCATGATGAGAATGTGTGGGTCCGTGTGAAATCACTTTAAGTGGGGAGACAAAGGACACACTATACCTGTTCTTTCCCGTTATTTAAGTTCTCCAGGTATAAATAAAATGAGAGCTTTTAACTTCAGTTAAAAGTGGAAATACATAGTATAAAAGTGAAATATTCTCAAAGTTATCGTGTCTTTAATGGAGAAATACCAGAAAACAAAAAATCTGGCATAGAAATAAGTTCTTTTTCTGTTTAAATTTTCATTGACTGGTTGGTTCTCTGGGACACTGACACTAAAAAAAAAGTATTTTATAATCCTGAACAAAATTTGATCTTGATTTCACAGTCTAAGTTACAATATTCAATTGGATAGTTAGTAGATTCTTTAGGCTTGAGTATAGTAAGGCACTGAACAAGTACTCCATCATCATCATCGCTCCGGCTACTCTCTGCTCCGTTTGAAAGGGTTCTTTTAAAGCAGCACAATAGTTAGAAAATCCGTCAAAGTTTGCACTGCTTTGTAACTGTCTTTCGGTGCTTCCATCAAGGCCACTAGTACAGGAAAATTACTCAGAACGAAATTCCCCTTTGGCTTTGGACTCTACTCCTGTGATTAAATTCACAAGGGCACATAACAAAATGACTTACCAGGCCACATCAGGTAGCTGGATGGCCTGTGTTTATTTTAGCCTTGGAACCTAATATACTTCTAACCTAGATACCTTGTGCCTATGTGTGCTAACTCTGCCTGAATTAGCACTCGACCTTCATTATGCATAAACTTATAAATCCATTTTGTTTCTTAAATCAAGTAATTCTACCACTTTCCTTCATTTTATGTGATATGTGCAATTCCACTAAAGCAGTGGAAGAAATTGAAAGAATCACTTCAAGATGATGTAAGTCAACTGCTGTGTTGACAAAATTTTCTGCTTAAGCTACAGTTATAATACATTTATAGCCTAGTTAATGTGGAGTGTGTTCACATATTAACAGTAGGCTCCCAAAGTGAAGAACTCTCAAAATCCTCAAGTTTTTCCTTTCTGCTATGAATGTGAAGGTAAGGTGTCCAAAGGAACACGAAATCATGCACATGAAATACCTAGCTCGTTCCCGTGACGTTTATAAATGAGTCCATTCTTTCTTCAAGCAGAGGCTCACTTTCTCCACCCCTTCTTTCATCTAAGGGAGTCTGAGCTAGCTCATCACATTATACACGGGCTCAAGAGGAAGAAGCCTTAGGATTATTTCAACTCACAGGACTCTGCAGGATCTGAGTAACTCGCTTCCTCTGCTCCATCATATTGAAATCTTGTCGTAGATCAGGAGACATGTTCCTCTCTCGAAGGTATTCTGGATCACTTTCATTGATTCGGTCAAAATACCTCTCTTTGTGAGGCATGCTGGGAAGGGGAGGAGTAGTAATCACAGCTTGGCTGGAGTCTGAACTCATGTTTCAAGTCTTGTTCTCTACGTAATAAACACAAAGATAGGAGGACATTTATTATGACACCTTATTAGCACTTTAGAGGAGCCAAGAAGGACTTTAAAACGTTTGGAATGCTTAAATGCTTCAAGTAGCTTCAGTGGTGAAGAGCACTGGCTGCTCTTATAAAGAACGGGGTTCGATTTCCACACCCACATAGTGGCTTCAGTCCCAGAGGACCCAATGCTCTCTTCTGGTTTTTGCATCAGGCACATACATGGTGCATACATGCAGGCAAAACACCCATACATATAACAAACAAATAAATAAAAGTCCTTCATGGAGAAAGGTTGCTTGATGGAGGCCAGCGGGAGAGAACAATCCTCGTGTAGTCATGGCCCTGGGTCCAATTCCCAGCACTTAAAAAAAATTAAGAAGGCAACTTCTCCACAACATTTCTTAACAACAACAAAAGGAAATAAAAGCTAATTTCTCTCTCAGCTTCTCTATCCTTTGCGTATAGGGGGGCTACTGATTTTTTTGAGTTGATCTTGTAACCTGCCACATCACTGAAGGTATTTATCAGCTGTAGGAGTTCTTTGGTAGTTTTTGGGGTCACTAATGTACACTATAATATCATCTGCAAATAACGAAAGTTTGACTCCTTCCTTTCCAATTCGAATCCCCTTGATCTCCTTCTGTTATTTTAAGATATAAGAGCTAGCTAGCAATATGCTTAAGTGATTGGCCAGATAGTGATTTAAATGGCATAGTTTCTGTGTGATTACTTAGAGTCAGGGTGGTTGGAAACAAACTAGCAGCCTCCCCCAATACTAATATATTTGAGTTTTACTCCATTTCTTTCTTCCTCTAGTCTGTGGCAAGTACACAATGTAACAAAAATATCTATAAACTTTTCTTAAAATTTTATACATAAGTACATTAGTTTGGATTTTACTAAAATGTCACTGCAGAGTCTGAAAGTTCCTGGGATGGTTTGAGAAGCACTGACTGAGTAGAGACTGAATGGTAAAGGATCTGGACAATGGAAACACTCAGAGCAGCCCTGAGCTGGACAGAGTTAATGGTCAGGGTTGTCCAGGGTGAGACAGCGGTGATAGCTGCACAAACCACACATGCACTTAATGCTGCTGGAACTGAGCACTACTAGCTAAAAGTAGTAAATTTATCATAATTTTAAACAGCTCCAAAAAGAACATCAACTTACACATAAAACTATATAAACATTCTGGAAGGAGTCAGGGAGGGGTCAGGACTGGGGTGGAGCCCAAGGCCTCGCAATACTAGCCCAGTACTCTACCACTGAACTATACACTCCGTCCTACAATTATGAAACGGTTCCCAAAACAGACAAACAGACAAACAAACAGACAAGCAAAACAGAACCAGCCAGATCTTCAGAATCTAAAGTAAGACAGAATTCTTTAATACCAAAACCTCAACTGAACTCTACCAAAATTTAAAATGTTTGTTTGCAAAAGATACTGTTAAGAAAACAAACCGGGGCTGGTAAATTGGCTCAGGGATTAAGAGCTCTGGCTGTTCTTCCACAGGACCTGAGTTTGAATTCCAACATCCTACATGGTGGCTCACAACTGCCTGTAACTTCAGTTCCAGGAGATCCCAGGTCTCTGTTCTTCACCTTCCTATAGCACTACACAGATAGACTTACACACACACACACACACACACACACACACACACACACACACACAATTTAAATAAAAAGTTAAAAAAAGAAAGTGAATGAAAAGGCAAGGTATAACCCAGAGGGAAAGTACATATGTAATAATAAAGGACTATGAAAAGAAAATATGGCCGGGCGGTGGTGGCGCACGCCTTTAATTCCAGCACTTGGGAGGCAGAGGCAGGCGGATCTCTGTGAGTTCGAGACCAGCCTGGTCTACAAGAGCTAGTTCCAGGACAGGCTCCAAAACCACAGAGAAACCCTGTCCAATATATATATATATATATATATATATATATATATATATATATATATATATATATATATATGTATATATATATGAGAAGCACTCAACGGCTAACAGTAATCAAACATACTTCACCAAAGAAGACATACACAACAAATACACACACAGAAAAACATTCAGCATCACTCACTGGTCACTGGAGAAACATAAGGTTGCAATAATATAGCACTATACAGATTATCAAAATGGTTAAAATAAAAATGGAGGGGGCTGGAGAGGTGGCTCAGTGGTTAAGAGCATTGCCTGCTCTTCCAAAGGTCCTGAGTTCAATTCCCAGCAACCACATGGTGGCTCACAACCATCTGTAGTGAGGTCTGGTGCCCTCTTCTGGCCTGCAGACATACACACAGACAGAACATTGTATACATAATAAATAAATAAATATTTAAAAAAAAAATAAAAATGGAGAACTCTAAATGCTGGAAAGATGTAGAGAAATCAGATCCTCATACACTCTCAGGATGAAAATGGTACAGTTACTATGGGAAAAAGTGTGATATTTTACTGAAAAACAAAATATGCAACTACTATACAACTCGACAGTTATATTCTGGGAGATAAATTCCCAGAGAAAGAACAAGTCACACAAATCTATACAGAAATCTCGAGAGCAGTTTTATTTGGAGCAGTTCAGAACAGGAAATAAGCCTCATGTCCTTCAACTATCAACAGCTAAGGTAAGATATATACAAATATGGATGATTACCTAGCAAAGAGGAATGAACTGCTTATACATGTAGTTATATATGTTATAGAGAAAATTTTCAGTGAGTGAAAAAACTAATCCCAACGGTTACATGGTGCATGGCATGTTCACATCAAATTCCTCAAATGACAACACTGCTCCAGTGGAGAACAGACCAGAGGCTGGTGGGAGTGAGAGGACGGCATGCTCAGGATGGAGGTAGGATTATACATGCATTAAGTGAACATGAGCCAACGAGAAACCCCAAGAGGGTCAGTGTCAACGATGCTACTAAGTGGCTACTGAAGCACAGTTTTTAATAAAATTTTAATTAAGAATTTCACACATGTACATGTTTTTGATGAAGTCCCCTCCCAACCCCTCCCTTCCAATATCTTCCCTATCACTTCCCCCTCCACCATTTCCCTGAAATTTAACGCTTTTTGTTTAAAAGTCCACTGAATCTACTTTTATGATAACAGTATTTGCGTGTGTTTAGGGCCATCTATTGGAGCAAGGGAACCCTCTTAGGGGGTTACATCTATGTAGAAAACTGACTCTTTTTCTCTCAGTGACTAGGCCTAGGACTTGGTGACTACCTCCCCAATCCATGGTGGGTCTGATCTCACACACGTCTTGTGCATGCTGTCACAGCCACTGTGAGCTCCTATGTGTAACTTTTCTGTTATGCCCAGAAAACACTGCTCCACTGTACTCGTCCACTGTTTCTGGCTCTTGGAATCTTTCTGAACCCTCTTCTGCAATGATCCTGAGTCCTGGGAGGGAGATGTGGTATAAATGTCCCATCGAGGGCCTCCTGCTCTACAGGCTCTTATTCCTTGCACACTGACCAGTTGTGGGCTTGGTGTTCACTGCCATCATCTACAAAAATAAGCTTCTCTGATGAGGGCCGAGAGATGTATTAATCTATGGGTATAAAGATAACAATGTAGAAAGAAGTTTACTTCTATATCCATTTACCAGAAAAATAGTAGTAGGCTCTCACTTTGGGCCAATTCCTACCAAGCCTGAGTTCTTGGTCCTGTCAATGGTGCCAGACATGAGTTCATGAGAAGAGGCTTTATATCCAATCCATAACATACGTGTCAGTACTGAACCCATGGCACGCAGCTCTCAGGGGTCACATCTGGACATGATCATTGCTTTTCTCCTCTGTTAGCATGCACAGCATCTTCCAGCACTGAGAAAACTAGCCAGTAGGTGTGACACTTCCAAGTTGGCACCAGCCTGATTTCTCCAAGTTCTATGACTCAAAAAGTTGTGTCTTCAGCCGGGCGGTGGTGGCGCTTGCCTTTAATCCCAGCACTCGGGAGGCAGAGGCAGGCGGATCTCTGTGAGTTCGAGACCAGCCTGGTCTACAAGAGCTAGTTCCAGGACAGGCTCCAAAACCACAGAGAAACCCTGTCTAGAAAAAAAAAACAAACAAACAAACAAAAAAAGTTGTGTCTTCAGCAATAGGGTCTCAACATCAAGTTGTGGAGGGACCAAAGCAAATGACAACAGCCTCTAACATTTGGAAGTCCATGGGACCAACAACTCAGAGACAGAACCCATTCCTAGCATGAAGCCCTATTACAGGGTGACTCATTTAAACTTTTTATGTATGCAGACAGTAGATATATGCCTTTTCCATATGCCTTTGTCAAAGGTCTTTAGCTTTAGTGTAATCTCTTTCCAGACTCCTTCCTCTACCCTGTCTTCCCGTTCCCCATCCCACTTGTGGGTACCAATTTTATAAGATGTCACTAATGGTGGAAACTACATGAAGGGTACACAGGATGTCTGCTGATTCTTACAACTGCATGTGCAGCGACAATTATCTGATTTTTTTAAAAAAAATTTAAAGTTTAATTTTTATAAAATTAATATTCTACAAGAATGTTAAAATCAAAATTAAGAGTCGCCATCTCAATTGATGTAAGTATAAAATCACCTCTGCAGTAGAGTAAAGCTTATTCTCTACCTATCTTCAGAAAGCATTTTGATCCAGCTTAACCATTACAACTAAACTGAATCGGAATAAAAGCACATGGATTCTGTTAACAGTAGCTGGGGTGTATATATACAGCCGAAAACACTTCTCATGGTGCCTTCAGGAGCTGTGGGACATCAAATGTGGTTATGTAACAGTTTCCCTAAGCCACACACAGTTAAAATATGAAGCCCCTGGGACACTGAATGAAATGCAGCATCAGAAGGAACAGGCATTTAGGAGCTAGTGTTCAGATCTTAGCACTAGTTGGGAGACACACCAAAGCTACAGCAGGGGAAATACTAACTCAAGTGTGCTCTTGACAGAAACCTGCTCTGCAGTCAGAGCGGC